AAAAAAGATTTGTCCAAATATATTTGTTTCAGATACAGTAACGATAAAATAGGCAGAAGTGGATTAAAACTGATGATTAAACACCTTCTTCTCCGCTTCCTCCTCTTCCTCTTCAACATTTTCTCCTGCTTCTCGTTTCTTGTCTTTTAAAAATTCAAGACGCCTTTTGCGTTCCGCTTCCAGCAAGCCTAATATGTAACATCCAGTTCTCATGCAAAACCCCGCAAAAAGCTTTCCAAATAAAACCTACCAGGTACTAATTTGTACACTATATCCTGCATTGTTCGATCGAACGCCACGTAATGGCTGGGATGACTTTGATGAATCAATTGTTCACATGTGGGACAGCAATTATCTTCCTCTTCAAAATAAGTCAGAAGGCAACTTTTGCAGAAGGTGTGCAAACAATCGATGACCGTAGTTGCATCTATTAAATAGCCCTAAACAAAGAGCAATGATGGTGAATTGTAGAAGAAAGAGAATTTTTTTGGAGTGTTAGTATGATTAGAAGATCCCAAGACAATACTACGGCAATATATACCAACATCAAAAGAAATCGGGGCATACTTCACGGTGTCCAATCGAAAAATTTTGCATTTTAAGTTCATACAAGAGGCTCTTGTCCAAGACTTGGCTCTCAAGGATAAAGCCCGCAAAGTGACTTAGTAAAAAGAATGAACTGACATAAGGAAAGAGATAAATCAAATTAAGAAATCTTAAAAAGCACAAGCAGTGAATACTGACCTTACACAAACCACACGTTAAATGAGTATTGATCTTTTTCAATTGTAGAGAATACGTTTCTTTCACTTCAACCCTTTCCGATTCTCCCTCATCCTTCTTCGACATCTGAAATTATTTAATAAGGACTTCCAGATCTTTTTTAAGTGCTACGAGATTACCTTAGCTTTGCTCTCATTGCCTGATTTCCCCATCCGTTTCCGCTTCTGACCAACTTCAGCTTTCTTCTCCTCTCTTTCCTTTTCCTTCTTTTTAGACATGGCTC